ATATATATATATATACACATATGCCACATGTATATTTCATATCTATATATAAATTTGATTTTTAGAAGTAAAGTCTGCGTTCTGAAAGGCCTGTGGTCATTTTAGACTCATTTGATCATGTTTTCCTGATGGAGAAAAGTGGGTCTTACTGTCCTCCCATCAAGCGGGCAGTTCAGGTCTGTACTCCTGGACTTGTGCCCATCCACTTCCCCTGGATGTCCTCTGTGGCCCCAGCTTCCCGCCGGATGCTCGAGGGCACTGGTGACCAGGTGGAGGTGGTGGCAGCTTCACTTTTTAAATTTACCTGCCCATTGTTCAGTGCCCATTCAGGGCATGGACACACTGGCACACATTTGTTCCTTACTAATTTCCATGAAATGGGTGTGATCCATTCATACATAATCACTGTAGTTTCTACCAGTTCCAGGAGTAAGGCCCTGGGAACAAGTCAAGTAGATGTTGGTCAGGGCACCGGCAAAGAGGGGCAATGAATGGTGCCCAGCACCCAGACGTGCCCCTTGTCTGCACAGAGGGCCATGGGAAATGGGTTTAATCCATGGGATTAGCCATGCAGAGCCTTACCATGGACCACTACCTTCACCTACTTACAGAGTGGAAATTAAATCAAAGATGTACCTTGAAAGTGTTCTCTAATGTGGGATTTGGGGCAACCCAGGCGTTCCTGTGGCCTGGTCTGCCAGCTTTGGTAGGAGCCCTACCATTCAGTCTTTCACGCAATCTAACCCAGTACAGTTCAGCAGCGGTCCTGCTCAGCCTAGCTCAGGACTCCTCTCCTGAGTGTGTTGCCCGGCCCCTGCTTATTTCGTACAAATCACTGTGGCCCGGCTGTAAAGAGGAAGCTGAGGAACTTGCAGACAGGTCCCCTTAATTCCACCTGAGGGGAAAACATGGACACATTCAAAATATGTTCTCCATAACAAACCCAGCCCAAAAGGTATTGAACACACAAGGCACAGTAAACATGACAGCTGGGGCCTCCTGCATGAGGTCCTACCCAGCAAAGCTGAGGAGTGGGCAAGCTCCCATCCCAGCTTGGCAGGACAGAGGCAGAGCTGTGCACAGGAAGCCGTCTCACCTGTCCACTGATAACAAAAGGGCAGACATTGCATTCGGATATGGCTGCTTCTGACCTCTGTGTCTGGACTTATTCTTCAGGAAAGCGGATTTCCATGTGAAGACACTGGGAATCGTCCAGAGCAGCTGTTGACATTAGAGATTTCTGTTTGCAGTGATAGCCTTCCAACTTTTGTGGCCACAGTGGCCTCGCTCACACCCAGTCGGCACCCTCATCCTCAGGGGCTCAGTAGCCGTGTCGCTGGCTTATAGACCATCATGTCATGTCACAGCTCAATGCTACAAAATCCAGTGTCTACGGAACACAGAGCTGCTCTCAGGCTTCTCCACAGGGAGGTCCTGGGCAGCCAAAACTGAAGGCCAGTGGATGGGAAAGGGCAGGTGAATATGCCTGGGGGGGTGCTTTCAGCTCACTTCATGTCCCACAGTCCCACGTATTCCAAGCGTCCTTCTCCATCAGTGTGCTGATCCAGGGAAGGCGTCTTTTGCATATTCAAGCACTTTTAAAGTGCTTTGAGCATTTGTTCTGCATTGTTTTCGAGGGACGGGAGATTGCACCAGCGGAAACGGACGTGGTGAATGGGGCTGCTGCTGCAGGAGCAGTGGGAACACGTTGGAATAAAAAGGTGGTTGCTCCTGAGGACAGGCTCGCAGTTTGATACGGTGCTCTCCTGACTGCTGTTACATCCCAAGAGGCTTCCTGACCTCCCGGCCCAGACTGAAGGGGAGGTGGGGCTCATGACGTGGAAGCAGCATTGACTGAGACAGGCTTTTGGACAGGCATGGATTGGACAGATTATGAAGGGCAAGTTTTTGGATTTCTGCATGTTTTTAATACAAAGTTATGTAAGTGCTTGACATTCCAAATGATGAACACGTTTTGATCATGAAGTACAGTGATGCATCATCCAAGTGATCTGCCTATATAGAGTTCAGACTGAAGACATGTTCCTCACATTGTGGTTGTTTGGTGCTGTCAAGTCAAAACCAACTCACAGCAACTCTATGCAACTGGGTGGAATTTCCCCGTGAGGACTAAAATGGTGCAGACATTCCTTTGTTGTTGTTGTTAGGCGCTGTCAAGTCATCTCCAACTCATAGCAACCCTACGCACAGCAGAACGAAACACCGCCCAATCCTGCACCAGCTCCATGATTCCTGCTATCCTTGAGCCCATGGCCACAGCCACTGCATCAATCCATCTCATTGAGGGACTTCCCCTCTTTCATCAACCCTCCACCTTACCAGGCATGACATTCTTCTCCAGGGAATGGTCCCTTCTGACAACATGACCAAAGTAGATGAGACAAAGTCTGGCCATTCTCGCTTCCAAGGAGCATTCTGGCTGTACTTCCTCCAGGACAGATCTGTTAGTTCTTTAAACAAGCCATGGTACTTTCAGCATTCTTCACCAGCACCACAACTCAAAAGCATCAACTCTTCTTCGGTCTTCCTTATTCATTGTCCAGCTCTCACACGCATATGAGGTGATTGAAAATACCACCGCTTGTGTCAGGCGCACGTTAGTCCTCAAGGAGGTATCTTTGCTCCTCAGCACTTGAAAGAGGTCCTTTGCAGCTGACTTGCCCAGGGCTATACCTCATGTGATGTCCTGATTACTGCTTCCGTTGGTGTCGGTTGTAGAACCAAGCAATGTGAAGTCTTTGAAAACTTCAATCTTTTCTCCATTTACCGTGATGAAGCTTATAGGACCAGTTGTGAGGACTTTTGTTTTCTTTATATTGAGATGTAATCCATACTGCAGACTGTATTCTTCAATCTTCATCAATAAATGCTTCAAGTCATCCTCACTTTCATCAAGCAAAGTTGATCATCAGCATATCACAGGTTATTAATGAGTCTTTCTCCAATCCTGATGCCACGTTCTTCTTCATGTAGTCCAGCTTCTTGGATTATTTGTTCAGCAGATAAACTGAATAAGTATGGTGGAAGGATACAACTCTGATGCACTCCCTTCTTGATTTTAAACCACACAGTGTCCCCTTGTTCTATTCGAACTACAGCCTCCTGGTCTATGTACAGGTTCCTCACAAGTACAATTAAGTGTTCTGGAATTCCTATTCTTCTCAGTGTTATCCACAATTTGTTATGATCCATACAATCAAATGCTTTTGCACAGTCAATAAAACACAAGTAAACATCTTTTTGGTATTTGCTTTGAGCCAAGATCCATCTGACATCAGCAATGATATCCCTTGTTCCACGTCCTCTTCTGAATCCAGCTTGCACTTCTGGAAGTTCTCTGTCAATATACTGCTGCAACCAAAACCAAATGGAGGTCTCAAAAGCTTTACTTTATTTGTATTAGTAAGGTTGGTTCTACTCTGATGATGCAGCTCTTTCCCAGTAGTATTTTGAGAGCCTTCCAACCTAAGGGGCTCATCCTCCTGCACTGTGTTGGTCAGTGTTTCTGGGCTATTCATAAAGCTGCGCAGTAATGTGTCAGAAAGTGTTTCTCTGTTATTCATAAGGTTTTCCTTGGTCAGTTCTTTGAGAAGTGGATGGCCTCTTCCTTCTTTCTAGTCTGTCTCAGTCTGTTAGCTGCATTGAAACCTGTGCATCATGTGTAACCCTGCTGGCATTTGAAACACTGGTGGCACAGCCTCAGGCCTCACAGCAACACGCAAACAACCTCAGTAAGACAAACTGACAGACAAGTTTGTCTCCCTTAGCTGTTCAGAACCTCTCTGCCCTCCCCTTTCCTGGATCCTGCTGATTCTGCTCAGTCATTCATCCTCCAGCTTTTCTTTCCCCTGCTTTCCTGCCTCTTGGGGGTGGGGCCTGTGTCTCTCCCTTTCCCTGAATCCCTGCCACTGCTACTCTGTCAGTCATCACCTGGCTTTTCTTTCTCCACTTTCCTGCCTGTCATTCCCTAAAAAGTGTGAAATAGAAATACTGTATGATCCAGCAATCCCACTACTAAGTATATATCCTAGAAAAATAAAAACCATGACTCAAACAGATATATGCACACCTATATTCATCACAGCATTCTTCACAATGGTGAAAAGATGGAAACAGCCTAAATGCCCATTAACAGAGGAATAGATCAACAAATTATGATACATACACACAATGGAATACCATGCAACATTAAATAACAATTATGAAACATCTCATAACATGAATGAACCTAGAGGACATTATGCTGAGTGAAATTAGTCAATGACAAAAGGACAGGCATTGTATGAGACCACTATTGTATAAAGTCAAGAAAATGATTTCACTCAAAAAGAATTTTTTTTTTAATAGTTACCAGGGCTGGGTGGGGAAGGGAAGGTAAACCACTAGAAGGCAGACACATATGACCTTGGGTGAAGGGAAGGTGAAAGAATGAGTAAATATTTTAAAAGGAGAGAACGAAACAAGAATTAACAACAATAACAAAAAAAAAAAAAAGCAACCAATTGGGGTTTGGGAAGGGTGGAACGTAGCCTGAGGTAAATGCATTACAAATGGATCACTAAACCATACTGAAGGAGATAGGAACAAATGAGTTGACTGAGGTAATTTTGGAAAAAATTAATTTCCCCATAGAGTTTCTCAGGCCATCATCTTCTGGGAGGGGAGATCTCCAGGTCTTTTAGTCTTTTCTCCCATGGAACCAGTGGTGGGTTCAAACTGACATCTTTTTGGTTAGCAGCCAAGCACTTAACCACTGTGCTTCCAGGGCCTCTTATCATGATGTAAGAATGTCAAGAGGACATTCCCCTACCACGCAGGCCATGCTGACTCCAGACTGTCCATTCAGACCTTTACATGAGATGTGTTCAGGACAGCGTCAAAGGGAGAAAAGAGTGGGCTTTGTAGGTTAGGGTGACATTTAACAGTAGAAATTCTAGGAGTGCCCTGAATTGTTTTTTTCCTTCTTTTCCCCCAATAAGGATCATTCTGGAACTTGGTGTCCTTCCACACAGAGACCTCCTACCTTCACTTCCCTACTTTGCGTGGAGAACTCAGTGCTGACGTGTCTTTCTTTTTCAAGACCACGGCCCCATCAGGGGTGTTTCTGGAGAACCTGGGCATTATCGACTTCATTAGCCTGGAGCTGCGCTGTGAGTGCCCAGAAAGTCCAGGGCCCTGTCCCCGAGCAGCCACTGAGCAAATGCGAGGGGTCTCGTGTCTGCATGGTCTGCCACTTCCTGCATCAGCCCTATCTCCATGAGTTCACCTCAGACGTGAATCCCACTGGCTAGCTTTAAAAGAAGCTAACCCATGTGTGCTTGATAATACACTTGGCATCCCGTGGGAAATGCCTGTCCTCACCAGGGCCAGTTAAGAAAATTAGACTGGATTTAGACAGGGGTTCAAATCCAGCAGACTACTTGACAAAGCTTTCACTGAATTGCAAAACCTTTGGCACCCACCATGTCATTGTAAAACTATGAAAAATTCTGGGCTTATGCTTTGTAGTTCATGTGCCCTAGGCAGTTGTCTGTTCAATTCAGCACTTAACAATATGAATCGTAGATTCGGAGTTTAATTTATTTTTCTTTTTCTGGTTGCTATATAGCTTCACTGTGCATCAGATTTCTTCCCTTAACATAAAACTTAATTTTCCCAAGTGCAGTGGAAGAAATTTTCCTGCTCTTACGTTTAGAAAAAATCCATCAGTTCACTTGCCAGATATCCAAATCATTCACAGTTGCTTTGTCACAAGTCAAGTGTTTCTCTCTCTCCCTAATGACTCTATTCAGAAATCTGAGTTTACATTTCTTAATATCAGTATTTTTTCCCAATGCAAGTTAATGTTAGGAGTCACTGGGTAGCAGACATTAACAGGTTTGGCTGCTAACCAAAAGGTTGGCGATGTGAGTCCACCCAGAGGCACCTCAGCAGAAAGCCCTGGTGATCAACATCCGAAAAACTAGCCATTGGGAACCCTGTGGGGCACAGCTCCACCCTGACATGCATTGGGTTATCAGGAGTTGGGGCTGACTTGACACTTTCTTTTTTAATTACTTTTACCTTCCCATCCTTCATCAGAGATAACTGGCTGCTCAGTGTCACAGCTCCTCTCAAACCCTGAGGACAGCACATGTCCTCTAAGTGGTCTTTGTTGAGAGTGCTCCCCCTATGGCATGCTCATGGTCAAGTCTTTCTGGCGATAATGTCCATGTCTTTTGTTGCAGCCCCCACAGAGGTGGTCTTCTCATTCGATGTGGGGAATGGACCCTGTGAGGTTATGGTGAGGGCATCTGGCCCCCTCAATGACAACCGGTGGCACCTTGTCCATGCTGAGAGGAATATTAAGGAGGCATCACTGCAGGTGGACATGCTCCCACGCATGGCTCAGTCTGCCCCTGCCAATGGCCATGTGCTGCTGCAGCTCAACAGCCAGCTTTTTGTGGGTGAGTCTGCCTAAGGTTGAGTCTGCTGTTCCTGTGACTGGTGCAGAGACAGCTACAGAGAGAACGAGGTGAACAGTAAAATAGCCATGGTGGCATGTTATTGTTAGGTGCAGTGAAGTCAGCCCCAACTTGCAGAGACCTTTTTGTGGGTGAGTCTGCCTAGGGGTGAGTCTGCTGTTCCTGTGACTGGTGCAGAGACAGCTACAGAGAGAACGAGGTGAACAGTAAAATAGCCACGGTGGCACGCTCTTGCTAGGTGCAATGAAGTCGGCCCCAACTGACAGAGACCTCACGTATAACACAGAACAAACTGGAGTCTGATCCTGCGCCATTCTCATGATTGCTGCTGTTTGAGTCCACTGTTTGGGCCACTGTCCACGTCCATCTCATTGATGGTGTCCTCCATTTTCTGTTGACCCTCTGCTTTACCAAACACAATGTCCTTTTCTGGCAGTTGGTCTTTCCTGATGACATGCACCAGGTCAGCAAACCAAACTCATCATCCTCATTTCTGAAGAGCACGTTGCTAGGATTTCTCCTGAGTCCAACTTGTTTGTTCTTCTGGCAAAGTCCAGGGTATGTTCAGTACCCTTACCAGCACCACAGCTCAACTGCACCCGTTCTTCTGCCTTCTTTCTCCATTGTCCAGCTTTCCTCTGCATATGAGCTGACTGAAAAGACTATGGCTTGGATCGGGCAAACCTTAGTCCTCGAGGGGTACACAGTCACCTTCAACATCATGGTCTGCCTTCAAGTGATGCTCTCCTACCTCATGTGTAGTGTAGGAAATTTGTGACATTGTCTTCCATTTCTCTCCTCCAAGCCTGTGTGCCTTTGTTGTCCAACAGCATTTCTACAGGTGTCATACCCCTCACAACACAGTGTTCACACTTTCTCTTAAAATATTTATAGTTTAAATGGACTTACTAATACTGACTTGTTTTTCTCTTTTACCCTCATAATAACCATTTATTGGGATCTTAATTTTTTATGTAGATCTTGATTTCCATCTGGCAGTCCTTCCACTTGATGGTTCCCTCTTCCATTTCTTGCAACCACTGCAAACCAGTTGGGAATGAATTCTTTCACCTTCTGTTTCTCTGAAGAAACGCTTATTTCACTTTTGCATTTGAGACATAGTTTGTCTAGGTAAAGATGTGATGCTGACTGTGTTATTGTTTTTCTTTCAGTGCTTTAAAGTTATGTCTTCTGGTTTGCCTTATATCTGATAAGAAACCTGCTAGCATTGTTTTATTCTGTGTATAATGTGTTTTGTTCCTCTGTGTATGATGTGTTCCTCTGTGTATAATGTGTTTCTCTGTGTATAATGTGTTTCTCTATGTATGACATGTTTCTCTGTGTATAATGTGTTTCTCTGTGTATAATGTGTTTCTTTCCTCTGGCTGCTGTAGAGTTTCTTTTCCCCCCATGCTTTTAAGCGTTTTTTATGATGTGCCTTTGTTGACTTCATGTTTCGTGTGTTTAGCTTTATTGAGTTTCAGATACTGTAAGTCCATAGTTGTCATCAGATAAAAATATTTTCAGCTGTGATTTTTTTTTTTTTCCTTGCCCTCTCTTCTCAGGAATCCCACTAACTTATTTCTGGCTTCCTGATGTTCTCTGACAGCTCACAGATCTTCTGTCCATTTTTATTTTTCAATCTCTTTCCCTCTGTGGTTCACTTTGGCTAGTTTACATTGCCAAGTATTTAAGTTCATTAAATTTTCATTCTGCAAAGACTAATGGGCTGTAAATTCCATTTCATATTTCTTCCTTTCCAGAAATTGTGGTTGGTTGGTTGTTGTTATTGTTGTTTCTCTAAAAGTTCAATTTGAATCTTTTCAGTACATCTTGTTTTCCATGTAAAATATTAAATCAACACTTCGCTCCTTTAGCATGTGGAATGAATAATCATGTCTGTGTTCTCACCTAGTCTTGTCAACATCCTTGTCTTCTCACCTGGGAGTCCCCTCATCGGTCCCCATGTTCTCACCTGGGAGTCCCCTCATCGGTCCCATGTTCTCACCTGGGAGTCCTCTCATTGGTCCCATGTTCTCACCTGGGAGTCTTCTCATCCTCTCTGTGTTCTCACCTGGGAGTCCCCACATCGGTCCCATGTTCTCACCTGGGAGTCCCCTCATCAGTCCCCGTGTTCTAACCTGGGAGTCCTCTCATTGGTCCCATGTTCTCACCTGGGAGTCTTCTCATCCTCTCTGTGTTCTCACCTGGGAGTCCTCTCCTCTCACCTATGACTCTTACCATTTCTCTCTCCTCATGTGTGAATCTTACCTGTGCTATTTTTAGATACCTTTCATTTGATTTCTTTTTCTCCTCTTGGTCAGCCCTGTGTCCTGCTTCTTTGCATGCCTGGCAATGTTTTTATTGGGTGTCAGACCTTGTGAATTTTATCTTGTTAAGGGCTAGGTGTTTGTTTTCTTTCTTTAAATATTCTTGGTCTTTGTCTGGAGTGAAATTAAGTTACTTGAAGTTACTTGGAAACAGTTTGATTTTGAGTGTTTTGCTTTTAAGCTTTTTATTCAGAGCAGCAACTAGTCAAGGACTCATATTCCTATTTCTGAGCTATGACCTTCTTCACTGTATGCTAAGCCTCGTGGCCACGTGCCACCACTCTGGCTGCTGGAAGCAGACGGCACGCCCGGTCCTGCACGAGCCCGGACGTTGCTTCCTGCAGTCCTGTTGAGGGCTCTGCCCCAGCGTCAGATCATTTCATCACATGTATCACGAAAGATACTGCAGACCCCCTCCCCACTCAGTGCTCTTCTCCTCAGCTCTGCTCCCCTCACCGCTGCCCTCTCAGCACTCCCCTTGTTCTGTGCCCCATTTCCTCTTCCCCACACTGGGACAGCTGACATGCCACCCTGGTTCCCAGCTCTGTCCACTTCCCACCTCCATTGTGGCCTGGAAACTCTCCAGAGCCTTCCACCATGATTCTGCCCTATCCCAGAGATCACTGCCATCTGTCAGCATTGCCCAAGTCTGTGGAACTGCTGTTTCTTTTTTTCTGTGGTTTCTCAGTTGTTTTTCAAGGTGGGAGAGGAAATCCAGTGTGTGCGAGAAGTGGGTCCATTTTTATTTATTTTATATTTCAGGTAACTTTTCAATGCACATTATGTTGCTGTTACTGTTGGCAGCTCTGACTCATGGTGACCCTGTGCAAACAGAACAAAATGCAGACTGGTGCTGTGCCATCCCCATGAGAGGCAGCAGGCTCCAGTCCACGGCTGCAGCCACTGTGTATTTTGAGTGACTTCCAGCTGAGGGGGCTCACCTCCCAGCACTATACTGGACAAAGCTCAGTTGTGTCCACAGGGTTTTCATGGGTTCAGTTTCAGAAGCAGATGACCAGGCCTTTCTTCCTGGTCTTAGTCTGGAAGCTCTGCTGAACCTTGTCCATCGTGGGTGACCCTGCTCACACTGGAAACACCAGTGGCATAGCTTCCAGCTTCACAGCCACACACAAGCCAGCACAGTGAGACACAGTCACAGACAGGTGGTGGATCCATCACATTACACACAGGACAGTAATACTGATGTCTCATTAAATTTTATTCTTCATTCTAATGAGCTGACTTAAAAATAACTTTTCAGTTCATGGAGAAGAAATCTGTTCAGAATAAATATTACCCAAACTCACCTTTAAAAATGGATGACTTTTTAGTGTTCTGGAATATGCTAGCACAGTGTCAGCAGTTGTTGTTTTTGTTATGTGCCATCAAGTTGGACCCAACTCATAGCGACCCCTCCTTGGGTTTCGGAGGCAGTATCACTACAGAAGTAGATTGCCCCATCTGCCTTCCGAGGAGTGGCTGGTGGCTTCCAAATTCTCTCTGTTCACTTGGGAAGCCCAGGTGTTGCTCTCTTGAAAGCTCTGAAATGGCACTCACTGCTCCCTTGCCCGACAGGCAGCACAGCCACCAGGCAGAGGGGCTTCCTGGGCTGTATCCGGTCACTGCAGCTCAATGGGCAGGTGCTGGACCTCGAGGACCGGGCCAAGGTCACGCCAGGTGTGGAGCCTGGCTGCCCAGGGCACTGCAGCAGCTATGGACACCTGTGCCATCATGGCGGGCGCTGCCGGGAGAGGCCCCGTGGGTTCTCCTGTGACTGCGAGCTCTCAGCCTTCACTGGACCCTTCTGCTCTGAGGGTGAGTGTGGAGTGCCAGGAGGGGCTCAGCCAAGGCAGCAGTGTGTGGTAGGCACCCCAAGACTGAGCAGAACCCTTTCTGTGCAGCTGTTCATCAGAGATTTCAGTCCCTAAGTTCCAGTTCAGTACCCCTTTTACAGGCTCTCATTTTGTTGTTCTTGTGCTGTGTCACATTGGTTCTGACTCATTGCAACCCCATGTGAGAGAGCAGACAGTTCCAGAGGGTTCGCTAGGCTGGGGGCTTTTTGGAAGCAGATTCCTGGGCCTTTCTCAGAGCCTCTGGGTGGATCCAGACCACGCCAACATCTCAGCAGCAAGCGCTGTCTGTGCTACCAGGGCCTTCCTGGATTGTTTTGTTAGGAGGATTGCGGTCTTCCCCTGAAAGCCAATGACTGTAAAATCCAGTGGCAGCCCCTCTGCTTTCTTGGAGGCTGTCTGGGCTCTGAGCATCGCACCTGACTGATGTATGTTCTCAGATGAGCTGTTATTGACAGTCTGCCCTGTTTCAATCGCCTATTTCAATATCCCTTTAGGTGTCATATTAATTAAGGAATACTCTAGGAGTACATTTTTTTCCCAAAAAAGAATACTTTTATTGGTTTAGTAAGACATTTTTCATTAAGTATTGAGTCGAACTAAAAGAGTCCTTAAGCCCTTTTCTCCAAGAATTCATTGATGATCTCTTGCTGAGGTAAAATGATTGGATAGTATGCAGCCTCTCTCCTTCTCAGAAATGACAAGCAGCCTTTGAAAAGACAGAAGGTGCTGATTGAGGATCAGAATTCTAGGAAAACACTTGTGAGCTGTCCACTCTCACAGATGCTCAGAGGCATCAGAGTAACATCAGCACCCTTCAACACTTCTACTTTGTTCATTGTGCCATTAACATCCCACTGGGCTTTAGAGCACAAAGCTGGGTACCTAACTGGATCAGCTGTTGATTTTAAAACCCTTAGGGCAGAGCCTGTACTCTCAGGGATCATGTCTAGAGTGTAATATGATGGGCCCAGGGGGAGGGTTACAGCCAGGGAGGGGAGGAGACTGGGTTAGGGTTGGACATGGTAAATAGGGAATGAAACTAAATGTTCACATAACGTTGAATGTAAAACAAGCTCTTAAAATAAAAAAAGAATTGGGGCTTAGAAATGGGAAGTGGAAATAGATCCCTTTCCTTTCAGATAAGATGAAATCAGTAGTAAAAAAATATATCATGCTGAGTTTCAGGCATTTAAATAAAGCTTGGTTTCTCATAAAAATTAATGAATGAATGAATTTCAATAAAAAACAAAAAACTTAGGGCAGTTAGCTGCCTAGAGGGGGCCAGAGCACAGTTGCACACACTATACTTGACAGTCAATCTGTGCTGGTGGATCTATCTTCTGTCATCTTTCCAAGACTCTTTCACCTGTGCAGGTGACATCCAGCTGTGCCAGGACATTTTTGGTTTTGTTGGTGGAGAACAGTGGTCTATAAATCCTTTCTTCCCATAAACAACAACATACGCCTGGGAAGCTACACTGAAATCTACTGAAGGAAATTAACATCTAAGTGAATGGAGGGATGTGCCACATTGTGGAACTAGAAGACTCGGTGCTGCTACTGCGTCAGTTTTCCTCAAATTGATTGAGAAGTCCAGTTCTCCAAACAAGATTTCAGCAATGTTTCTGTCTTTTCCTTCATAGAAATTGATAAGTTAATTCTAAATTTTATATGAATATTCATTTGGCCTTGCAATTCCAAAAGAGTTTTTAAAAAGAAGAGCAAGTTAGCAAAGGAAGAAAGAAAAAAAAAAAAAGAGAGAGAGAGAATCCATGAATAAACCCATACAACTACTCAACTGATTTTCCACAAAGGAGTTAAGGCCATTCAACCAGAGGAAGGCAAGTCCTTTAAGCAGTGGGCCCTGGAACAACTGGTATCCAAATGGAAAACAAAGGTAACTTACCACTTCACCCACATGGTTTGCAAGACTAACTTAAAGCAGGAAAGGCTGAGATGTAAAAGCTGACAGTATAAAACGTGTAGGAGAAAGGTGTTTCACCTTGACATAGGCAGATTTCCAAGACAGGACCCAAAACATATAAATCATTAAAAATGGATTGATTGAAATACAGGCATTTCACTCTCCAAAAGACACAGGAAGTAAGAAATAACTGTCAAGAAAATCCTTGCATAGCATACGTCTTCCAGTGGACTTGAATCCAGAATATGTAACGCACTCTCAATCCAGCAATGATAAGATGAAGACACAATCAGATAAAATGGGCAGAGATGGGAAGAGACACATCATCAGACAAGAGCTGTGCAAGGCAGAGAGACACATGGATACATGCCCAACACCATCAGTCATGAGGGCGATGAAAATTAGTTCCATCATTAGACTCACACCAAGTGGAACTGCAAACACTGAAGTGGCACCAGTACCAGGTATTGGACCTGATATGCTTGTCCACCACTGTGTGAATGTGAGACGCTACAGCCACTTTGGGAAACCCCCACACATATGCACTCACACTCCCTGTGTGACGCAGTACCCAGGGGGCTCAGCTCTCCCACTCTCAGGTTATCCCCCAGACACATGCAGAGGAAGCCTACCCAAAGACTTGTACACAAAAGCCCATGGCAGACTGAGTAAGATCCAAAACTGGAAACAACCTATATGCCTGTCAACAGTGGAACCAAGCCAAACCAAGCCCACTACCATCGAGTGGGCTCATAGTGACCCGCATTGGGCTTACTGTAAAGGCAGTAAATTTTTACAGATGTATTTGCCACATCTTCCTTTGGCAGAGCAGCAGGTGGGTTTGAACCATCAACCTTCTAGTTAGCAGTCAAATGCCTTAGGTACTGCACCACCAGAGCTCCAAAAGTGAAAGAGATAAATTGTAGGATATCCATACAGTGAGAGTCTAATGTTCAACAACATGGATTAATCCCAAAGTCATAGTGGTGAGTGAAAGAAGTGTGATTAAAGCAAAACAAAACAGTGTTATTCCACTTATATGAAATTATAAAAAATACCAACCAACCTAGAGGAACAGAAAGCAAGACACAGAGATTGACGGAGGGATTGGTGACAAGGAAGCACAACAGCTCATGGAAAGATTGGAAATGTTTGAATATTGATTGCGATAGTTCTTTCATGGGTGTATCCATCTGTCAAACTCACCAAATTCTACACTTTAAAGAGATGTGTTTATTGTACCTATAGGAGCTCTGGTGGTATAGTGTCTAAGGCATCTGACTGCTAACCAGAAGGCTGGCAGTTCAAACCCACCAGCCACTGCTCAGAAGGAAGGCTGGGCAATTTACTTCCATAGAGATACCACCTCGGAAACCCAAGGAGGGGTCACTGTGAATCGGATCTGACTCGATGGCAGTGAGTTTGGTTTTGATTTGTTGTACTGAAAGGTCTTCTGCCCCTTCTGCATGAATGGAATGCTAATGTTCTAATGGCTCCACGTCCCCCTCTACAGGATGCACGCTGAACGTTTGCCTGCAGATAGACATTTTACTACAAGTCGGCACTGAGTTGTGGGTGCCTTGGGTGCCCTGGGAGGAGGTTTGTGGGGAGGTTCCTTAAGGACTGTGGCTGGCTGTGTGTGGGCCTCCTGTCTCAGTGGAAGTGAGCAGCAGTAAGGTGTTATCCCACCACACCTCCCACCAGCACACAAGCATACACACCCAAGACACACACTCATGAACTGATTTGGGGAAGATGGGCAGGCTGGCTGGACAGACGTCTGCCTCCCTTGCCCATGTCCACGATGCCCTCAGCATTCATTCTCAGCAGGCAGGGCTGACAAGCTGGGCGAGTCTGTGTGTTGGTCTCTGAAGAGAGAGACCCTCGGACCACCTTCCCTCACTCCCCGGGAGCACTGCACAGCACTTGCAAAGAACAAACTGGAGAGAAAGTTAAGGAAGGCAGTAGAGAGCACAGCAGGTCATGGCCAGGGTGCCTGGTTTCTGCCTGGAACCTGCACACACTGGACTTCAGGGGCGACTTTATACTGGCAAGTGTGTGTGTAAACATATGTAAGACCCTTGAGGAGGCTCTGAGGTGTTGTTCATCAACTAACAACTTCTCATCTCTTGGATATATTGTTTATTCCCCAAGGAGCTCCAGTGGTGCAGTGCTTAAAGCATTTGGCTGCAAACCAAAAGGTTGGTGGTTTGATCCCACCCGCTGCTCCGCAGCACAAAGGTGAAGCAGTCTGCTTCCATAAAGATTACAGCCTTGGAAACCCTATGGGGCAGTTGCAGTCTGTCCAATAGGGCCGCTGTGAATTAGAATCGACCCAATGGCCATGGGTGGGGTTTTTCTGTTACTCCTTACTCTTCTCTTTATTTTTTATGAAAATTAAAATAAATGTAACTTAAAGATAGACTTCTTTTTAACATGAAATGACGTGCATGTTCTTTCAGAGATTTCAGCCTATTTCGGAACTGGCTCCTCTGTGACTTACAGTTTTCATGAGTCTCCCTCCCCAAGTGGGAACTCCAGTGCCTACGTGGCCTCATTCCACAGGGATGGGACTTTGGCCAGAGAGACGATCACATTCAGCTTCCGAACACTGCAGACCCCGAGCTTACTGCTGTATGTAGACTCCTTCTACAAGGAATACCTGTCCGTCATCCTGGCCAAAAATGGTGAGTAGCATCGTAGTGTTAGAAAAGTAAATCCTATCATGAAAACAGACAGACCATAGCCGTTGAGTCAATTCTGACTCATAGCAACCCTGCAGGACAGAGTGGAACTGCCCCATAGAGTTTCCAAGGCTGTAAATCTTTATAGGAGCACACTGCCACATCTTTCTTCTGCAGAGTGCCTGGTGGATTCAAACTGCACACTTTTCCAGTTAGCAGAGCACTTTAGCCACTGCACCACCAAAATTCCCATCCTTGTCGTTGTTGTTCGGTGCCATCAAGCTGGCTCCCACACAGCAACCCTCCATCCAACAGAACAAAACACTGCTTGGCTCTGCACCATCCTCACAATCATTGCCATGTGTGAGCCCATCTTCACAGCCACTGTGTCAATTCATCTTGGTGAGGGTCTTCCTCTTTTATGTTGATCGTCTATCAACCATGATGACCTTTCAGGGCCTAGTCCAAAGTCTGGCCATCCTCATTTCTAGGAGCATTATGGCCATATTTCTTCCAAGACAGGCATGTTCATTCTTCTGGCAGTCCATATTTTTTAATATTCTTTTCAATATTTTCAGTATTCTTCACCAAAAGCACAATTTGAATGCCTCAATTCTGTAATCTTCCTTGTTCATTGGCCAGCTTTTACATGTACATGAAGCCACTGAAAATACAATTGCTTGGGTCTGAACCTTAATCTTCAAAGTGACATCTTTTCTCTTTAACATTTAAAGAGATCTTTTGCAGCAGATTAGCCAGTTGCAACACATCATCTGATTTCTTGACTGCTGCTTCCATGGGCATTGAGTGTGGGTCTAAGTAAAATGAAATCCCAACGAATTTCAGTCTTTTCTCCATTTATTGTGAGGTTGTTTATTGATCCAGGTGTGAAGATTTTTGTTTTCTTTATGTCGAGGTATAATCTGTACTGCAGACTGTAGTCTTTAATCTTCATCGGTAAATGCTTCAAGTCATCCTCACTTTTGGCAATCAAGGTTGTGTCATCTACATATTGCAGGTTGTTAATGAGTCTTCCTGCAATCCTGATGCCATTTTCTTCTTCATATAGTCCAGCTTCTCAGATTATTTGCTCAGCAAACAGATTGAATAACTGAAGAAAGGATTCACCCTTATACATACTTTTCTTGATTTTAAACCTTGCTGCTCTTGTTGTTGGGTGCCACTGAGATGGCTCCGACTCACAGCAACCCTGTGTACAACAGAAGGAAACACCGCCTGGTCCTGTGCCAGCCTCACCATCTTTGCTACACCTGAGCCCACTGTGGCAGCCACATTGTCAGTCCATCTCATTGAGGGCCTTCCCCTTCTTCGCTGACTCTCTACTTTTCCAAGCATGCTATCTTTCTCCAGGGAATGGTCCCTTCTTAAAAAATCACCAAAGTGGGTGACACGAAGTCTGGCCCTTCTCGCTTCCAAGGAGCATTCCGGCTGCCCTCGTTCTAGGGCAGATCTTAGTCCTTTTAGAAGACCACGGTACTTTCAGTATTCTTCGCCAACACGACAACTCAAAAGCATCAACTCTTCTTCGGTCTTCTTTGTTCGTTGTCCTCCTCTCACATGTATATGAGGCGATTGAAAATACCATGGCTCCAGTTGTTGTTTGTTGTTTTTATGTGCCGTCAAGTCAGACCCAACTCACAGCGACCCCTCCTTGGGTTTCCAAGGCAGTATCACTACGGAAGTAGATTGCCCCATCTTCCTTCCGAGGAGTGGCTGGTGGGTATGAACCACCAGCCTTCTGGTTAGCAATCAAGTGCCTTATGCACTACGCTACCAGAGCTTGGGTTGTTGTTGTTGTTGTTATTTGCCGTCGAGTCAGCCCCGACTCCTAGCGACCCCTCTTTGGGTTTCTGAGGCAGTATCACTACAGAAGTAGGATTGCCCAACCGTCCTTCCGAGGAGTGGCTAGTGGGTTTGAACCGCCAGCCTTCTGGTTAGCAGTCAAGTGCCTTAGGCACTATGCTACTGTGAGCTTGGGTTAGGCACACCTTAGTCGTCAAAGAAACATCTTTGCTCTTCAGCACTTTAAAGAGGTCTTCTGCAGCAGATTTGCCCAGCGCAATATGTCATCTGATGTCTTGACTGCTGCTTCCATTGGTGTTGATTATAGAACCAAGTAATAGGAAATCTTTAACAACTTCATTTTCTCCATTTATTGTGATACTGATTATTGGTGCAGTTGTGAAGATTAAAAAAAAAAAAATACAGTACCCCTTATTCTGTGTTAACAACTGCTTTTTGCTCTAGTACAGATTCCTCATGAGCACAATTAAGTGTTCTGGAATTCCCATTCTTCTCAATGTTTTCCATCATTTGTTATGATCCACACAGTTGGATGCCTTTGCATAGTCAATAAAACACAAGGAAACATCTTTCTGATATTCTTTGCTTTTAGCTAAGATCCATCAGACATCAGCAGTGATATCCCTCATTCCATGCCGTCTTGTGAATCCCCCTTGCGCTTCTGGAAGTTTGCTGTCAATATACTGCTGCAACCGTATTTTAATTATCTTCAGCAAAATTTTACTTGCATGTGGTATTTATGATAATGTTTGATAATTTCCACATTCTGCTGGATCATCTTTATTTGCAATGGGCACAATTTACAATTCACAGTGGGCCACTGTTGGTTGGCCAGGTAGCTTTCTTCCAAATTTCTTGGCATAAATGAGTAAGCACCACCAAAGCTGCATATGTTTGTTGAAACATTTCAATGGGTATTCTGCCAATTCCTAGAGGCTTTTTTTTTCACCATTCCTTCAGTACCATTAGTTCTTGATCATATGCTACCTCCTGAAATGGTTGAATGTCGACCAATTCTTTTTTGGTACAGAGATTCTGTGTATTCCTTCCATCTTCTTTTGATGCTTCCTGCATCATTCAATATTATGCCCATAGAATCCTTCAGTATTGCAACTCAAATCTTAAATTTTTTCTTCAGTTGTTTCAGCTTGAGAAATGTTGAGCGTGTTCTTCCTTTTTAGTTTTCTAACTCCAGGTCTTTGCACATTTCATTATAGTACTTTACTTTGTATTCTCAAGCTGCTCTTTGAAATTTTCTGTTCAGCTTTTATTTCAGCATTTCTTCTGTTTGCTTTAGTTGTTCTCCATTCAAACGCAAGCTTCAGAGTCTCTTCTAACAACCATTTTGGTCTTTCCTTCCTTCCCAGTCTTTTTAATGACGATTTACTTTCTTCATGTATTATGCTCTTGATGTCATCCCACAACAGTCTGAACTTCAGTCATGGGTGTTCAGTGAGTCAAATCTGTTCTTCACATGTTCTCTAAACTCAGGTAGGCTATGATCAAGGTCACATTTTGGCTCTCATAGACTTGTTTTAATTTTCTTCAGCTTCAACTTGAACGTGCATATGAGTAGTTGATGGTCTGTTCCACAGTCAGCACCTGGTCTTGTTTTGACTGAAAATACTGAGCCTCTCCATTGCCTCTTTGCACAGACATAGTTGATTTGATTCCTGTGTATTCCATCTGGTGAGGTCCAAGTGTATATTCACCATTTATGTTGTTGAAAAAGTATTTGCAATGAGTAAGTCGTTGGTCTTGAGAAATTACACTATGCAATCTCTAGTATTACCTCTTTCATGAAGACCCTATTTTTCCAACTGCCAGTGCTTTCTCTTTGTTGCCAAATTATGCATTTCAATATCAGTAATCATCAATACATCTTGATTGCATAAACATGCAATCAAGTCAATTTCAGACTGCAGAAGTTGGTAAAAATCTTCAGTTTCTTCATTTTTGGCTTCAGTGGTTGGTGCGTAAATTTAAATAATAGTTGTATTAACCAATCTTCCTTGTAAGCATGTTGATCTTATCCTATCCCTGACAGCACTGTACTTCAGGATAGATCTTGAAACATCCTTTATGACGATGAATGCCACACCACTTCTCTTCACCGTATCATTCCCAGCATAGTAGATCATATGGTTGTCTGATTCAAAATGGCCTAAACCAGTCCATTTCAGCTCACTGATGCCTAGGATATCGATCTTTATGCGTTCCATTTAATTTTTGGCAACTTCCAACTTTCCTAGGTTCATACTTTGTACATTCCACATTCTATTAAGGGATATTTGCAGCTGTTTCTTCTCATTATGAGTCATGCCACATCATCAAATGAAGGTCCAGAAAGTTTTACTCCATCCACATCATTTTGGTTGACTTTACTTTGAGGAGTCAGCTTCTAGAATAAGCAGACTGGGAAGGACAGGGCCATCCACTTCTGAAAATATTGGCCACTAAGAACCTTATGAACCTTATGAACAGCAGTGAAACACTGTCTGATGTGGTGCTGGAAGATGAGCCCCTCGGGTCAGAAGGCACTCAAAATACTGCTGGGGAAGAGCTCGCTCCCCAAAGCAGTCCTTCCGTAGAACTATGGTGACAAGCTTTCCTCTCAAACTACAAACAAGGAGACATGGTGTGCTGGCTCCTGCCACTTTGTTAGTGTAGTTCTGTTTTTCAGGACAATGAAAAAGGCTGTCACAAGAGGTTTTGTTCCACAAATTGCATTAACATTCTTCTATAAAATTTGTGATCAAATTCCATCTTTCCTGTGGACAGAACTGCCATTATCTCCAGAAGCTCCTCATTAGAAATAGAAAATGCCCAGTTAGCTGTGGAGAACATCCTCTCCTCTTTCCCAGCAGCGAGGGCCGGAGGCGGGTGCTAGAGCAGTGCAGGCGTGCAGCAAGACCTGTCCATGGGCCCCAGGAACCCACTTCCTGGGCCTGAAGTAAACTACACCACCTCTGCCTGAAGACAGACAGTAAACATGCAGCCAGCAGCTGCATCTCCATGGTCCATCAGAGTTTTAAGCATTTTGAATGGAAAGTCAGGGCAGTAATTTACTCTCCGGGACAACTTGCAAAGATGTCCAGCCTGTGGAAGGTTAGTACAGTATGTGTGCCAGGTGGCAGCAGGAGGATGAAGTTTTTGGAGCATCCAGAGTTGGGTCAGGAGAGGTGGGCATGTGGAAAGCTTGTGTCTGGCACAGCTTATCATTCTTCTGGTCCCCACTTTCCCAGTAACCAGTGCAGAGTTTAGAAATAAAAGCTTGTGCATAAATAAACAAGCCGCCAAGCATTTCACCTCGGGCCCCAGGCTCTGACTCAGGGTCGATATAGGAGTTCCAGGGAGGAAAACTTTGCACCTGTGGCAGACTCAGAGTGTAAACAGTGGGAGAGATGCTGGGATGGACTTCCTTCTTAGCCAGCGAGAAAGCAAGGGGAATCCATTCCAGAGGGGCAGTGGTCGGGACCACTGCTTTCCTGCTGGTCAACACTTACAGTCCACAGCCTTCACCAGTGGAGACATGGTTCACAGGCCCCTGGGGGTTCAGCACCTCTGCAGATGCACAGCCCTCCATGAGCCTAGTGCACATGCCATAACCAATCACCTTCCAGAAGTTAGGAAATAAGTTCAGAGAAGATGAGACTGTGGAAAGAGTAGTTTCAATACTTCCCAAAGTTCCAGCATTTCTTAACATAATGTTCTTTTTGCAAGGGTAGAGTGGAATTTAGAGTCTAACGTGCACCCAATCCAAGTGTTTTCTGATAGAGGATTAAGAATTGTAGAGACCCAAAACCCATCAAGTCAATACCAACTCATAACAACCCTATTCTACTCTGTCCCATAGGGTTTCCAAGGCTCTAAATCTTAATAGAAGCAGACTGTCTCATCTTTCTCCCACTGAGTGGCTGGTGGATTTGAACCACCAACTGTATGGTTAACAGCCCAATGCTTTAACTAGTGCACCACCAGAGCGTCTCAAAAATTGTAGGAAAGAAAGTGCTCATTAATGACAACTTTTGCCTTGGCCTTCCAATTACATGCTTCACCTGGGAGACAGGCTTGGGCACAACTCCAAAGCAGTGTAACTGTTTCAGAGAAGGTGATGGTCCCTCAGAGTGCATCCAGATGCACTGTGTTAAATGGATCCACACCATAAAATGTCCCCAGAAACAAGTACATGTCAAGAACTGGAAAACCAAACTCACTGCCATCAAGATGGATCTGACTCATAGCGACCCCTCCTTGGGTTTCTGAGGTGGTATCACTATGGAAATGGATTGCCCAACCTTCTTTCCGAGGAGTGGCGGGTGGGTTTGAACTGCTAGCCTTCTGGTGAGCAGTCAGATGCCTTAGGCACTATGCCACCAGAGCTCCAACATGTCAAGAAGAACTCTGAACTATTCAAATGAAGTTTCAAAAACATTCTATTAAAAAACTGCAATTTTTTCCCCTCTAGGAAGTTTGCAGATTCGGTACAAGCTTGATATTCATCAGGATCCTGATGTTTTCAACTTTGATTTCACAAACATGGCTGACGGGCACCTTCAGCACGTGAGGATCAGCAGAGAAGGAGGAGTGCTCTTGGTCGAGGTAACAGCACACTCAAGCAGCCGCTGGCTGCAGCTGTGAGTCCCCAGGAGGAAGCCCGGTAGAACAGGTCCTTCTGGAGGTCCTTCTTTGGGTGCCACAGACAACAGTCGGGTGTAGTCTGCATTTTCTGTTTGTTCCTTGTTTAGTTATGGAATCTGCCAGTGTATCTGACTCCTGAAATCTCTCCTCATTTATCTCAATTAACCTGCTCTGGAAATGTTGTCTATTTCATCACGTATTCCTGGCAAGATCTTTAAAATGATTCTCCACTGGGAATCTATGCCATGCAATTTACAAGAGTACGGATGGTACGGAAGTTTAAATACATGGTTTATGTAAAATATGATTATGATTAAAATTTGCGTAACTAAAAATTAGATGTGATCAAGGCAGAGCGAGTGAAGGTTTCACGTTCCGTGCTTTTGTAGACACGTCTGAGTGGCTGTGCCCTCCACATGCAGGTAACTCCTTGGCTTCTATTTCAGGGTTTATTTTGAGATATGTATAAGTTATGGGCCTGCAAATGCCTCTTACAGCTTTGGAACACTGGATTCCAGCAGTCATAGATAATTTATATTATGCCAGGAAGTAGTAAGAGCTGTGAAGACAAATGCAGCAAGGGAAGGGACTAGGTGTGGGGTGAATGTGTCTGGGAGGGTATAGAGCTAGTCCATGGACAGTCTTCATAGCCACACACTCCTTGACGAGAGCCTCTTTCATCCTGTGCTTTTTCACTCATTCTGTTTCACTGTCTCCTCTGATCCCTCTGTGTTACCAAAAATGGTGCCCTCTCGATGTCTGCTTCTCCCGGGGCAGGTGAACCAGCAAACCAGGAGGCAAGTGAGCCTGTCCTCAGGCACAGAGTTCCACGCTGTCAAGTCCCTGGTGTTGGGCAGGATTTCAGGCAAGTAGACACAGCCATTGACTGCTAACCAGAAGGTTGGCGGTTCAAACCCACCAGCCACTCTTCGGAAGGAAGATTGGGCAATCTACTTCTGTAGACATACCGCCTCAGAAACCGAAGGAGGGTTCGCTATGAGTCAGAATCGACTCAGTGGCAGTGAGTTTGTTTTTTGTTTTTTGTTTTTTTGGTTAGACACAGCTTCCTCTCCCACGGAGATCCAACATGTGCCACTCACACAACAAGCAAGTCCCTTATTTTACTTTTGACCCATTAGTGCCAGTCAAGACAGAAAGAGTTCTTTTTTTCTTTTTTTTTTTTTGGTCTGCTGCATGCACACACAATTACAAGAAAAACTTGTCCTGTGATAAGCCAGTGTGCTCTGCTGAAAATAACCCCAAACTCTCTCTTACTTGACAATCAACACACAGTGATTTTCTTGTATTGGAAAGACTCCTGATCACAGCCAACATGTTCACCGACTGTGCTGATCACCAACAGCTGCTGATCCTGAAACTGACGCCAACATCTGAAGGGTGATTTAAACAAACTGCTGGTTGTCTTTCAGCTGACAACCTTGGTTAGGGTCAGTCAGACCTCCAGGCTGGATGTACGGCAGGTGGGCCCCAGGAAGAGGCAAGAGACCAGGGGGGCCGAGGCTGGACAGGAGTGGGAGTGGGTGTGGGGTGGAGGCAGGTCACAGAGGGCCTCCTGGACATTAAAACAAAGACCAGTTGTCACGGGGTCCATTGCAGCCCATGGTGGCCCCACGTGTGTCAGGGCAGACCTGCGCTCCACAGGCTTTCAGTGGCTGATTCTTCAGAAGTGGACCACCAGGCTTCCTCTGGGCCCTTCTGGGTCGCCTCACACCTCCAACCTTTCTGTTAGCAGTGGATCATGTTAACCGTTAGCACCACCAGGGTCTACAGAGACCATTATAGGGACTCACTTTTTCTCCATGTGGAATGCAGAGCCGGTGACACTCCTTGTCATTAATTAAAGCTCTGCTGGGCTGCTGGGTGTGCGGGAGGGGGGGGGAGGCAGGGAGGAGAGCCCAGTCCAGCCATAACCCAGGTGAGGGACAGTGCTGGACGTGACCAGTGTTGGCCGGCGCAGGGAAGGAGAAGTTGTAGATCCTGGGTATGTATCTTAGGAGCAGAGACAGCAGGCTCTTGTGGTAGACTGGATGCCACAGAGACACACAGAGAAGGGGAGAGGCAAGATTAGTCTGACCATTTTGGAGTGTTTCTCTAATACCAGTCTATGTTTCATTCCATGTTTCAAACTAGGGCATAGCCTGTGGCAAACTAGAAATGTTAACAAACAAAAACCCTCAGCACCTGCAGATTGTCGAAGCCTCCCAGCTCAGCTGTCGGGGCCTGACTGTCAGGGACAGCACCGTGGGGTGGGCCCAGCCTCTGCCAGGGACGGAGTCTGAGTGGGCCGACCCAGGTGACCTGTCCTGGAGGCCCTACCCTGCCCGGGCTGGCAGCTAGTCTTGGTCTGAACAGTGAGCAGTGGACAGTCTCAGGGACGCTGACGGCCTCCGCCAGCCTCGAGGCTGCGTCTCCATAAGCAGGTGCATCCATAGTGGAGGGACTAGGGGTGGACAGTTGTCACGCTCGAGCGTCTCTTCAATGAATCGCACACAGCCTGCCTTCAAACACGCCACAGTCTCAGGGGGAAGGCGAGATGTGCACACACATATTTAACACGGGAGAATTTAAAATTCTGAAGAGTGAGTATTTTTTAAAATGCAATCTACGTTCAAAGTTGGTGATGAAAAGTGATGTGCGATGTTGTACAACAAGCTAAGAAAATAAACTACCACCTAAAACTCAATGGGCAAATGAATATGCAAGAATAAAATTAATTGTATATGCCGATGCCTATACATCCCCTTTCCACTGACCGAGGGGGAACGTTCACATGGGATTGAGTGCAGCCGTGTTCACAAGAACTGGCTATTCATGGTGTCTGTCTCGGTTCTCCAGTGTGGCTCTAACAGACCGACCACGAGTGGACAACTAACAAACAGGGACTTACTCTCTTACAGTTTAGGAGGCTACAGTTCAAAGTGCCCCTCAACCTTGGGCTTCAGCACTGCCTCCTGTACCAGTCTCTTAACTACATCCAGCTGCCCAGCCATAAAGCCAGAGCCCTGCCAAGTTACACACAGTATCTTACTCAGACTCCAAAAAGAAGGTTGAAGTTCAACCTCAGCAGGCATTAGTATAGCTTGAAGCAATTGGACTTCTTGAAATTTAAAGTAAAAATTAATTTAGTGTATGCCTGGAAGACATTGATTTTGACCTGCCATGAACCCCCACTGTCTAGCCCCCGCTGCCCGGCCCCCACTGACCACGCCTCCCGCCGTCCCGCCCCCGCTGCCCATCCCCCACCGCCCCGGCCTACAATGCCCCAAGAGCGCTCTTCTCTGTCCCCGCAGAGCCGGGTGGCCACGTGGACCCGGAGACAGCGCGGGCTGGTGCGCGGGGCTTCGCTGGCTGCTTGTCGGGACTGCAGTTCGAGCGCACGGCGCCGCTGAAGGCTGCGCTGCGGCCGGGCCGCCCCGGACGCACGTCGGTGCAGGGGCCGGTGGCCGCTTCGCG